GAATTGAAGTCCAAAAATATAAATGGAGATTTAAAAAACCAAGAGCCATAACTTACTGGCCTTTATCTTAATAGAAGACAGAGTCCTAACGGCCTTAAATATCCAGACAGCCGCTGAGACTGTGAACCTGCAAATTCACAGGAGCTGAATTTACAATTCTGTCTCACATGAACAGCTGGCTTTCAGGCATGCAATTCAACTTCCGGCTTGATTTCATGATTAATCAATGTCATGTTAAATGTTACATATATTACATTCTTTCAAATAATCCTTACAAAAACAAAAGTCTGGAATTTTTACTTTAGTTTTATAAATAACTAAACTAAGCTCGAAAGAAGTATAATCACTTTTCAGTTTCTCCTAAAAGAGTTGACATCCATATGAAGGTCTAACTCCAACACCCCTACTTGTGCCAATAATCAAAATAGCAGATACTTTCACTACTTTTTCTGGAAGAATATGTGATGAATTAACATGCAAATGCCTTTAAGAAAGCTGACCAGGAAGGTGAGTCATTTCTCTGTCACTAAAGTATCCTCACCTCATGGCTTCAAAGAATCTGCTTTTCTCCACCACATAACCTCTCTGTATTGAGTTTTGTGGACAAAGTAGAAAATCTTAGTAGGGTACAGCAAATTAATATGCTAAGTAGGAACTCGAAATCAATGTGAAATCATACTCAAAAAAGGAAACATTTTTTCCAGCTGTCTATAAAAGGAGCCCAATCATAATGGCAGCAATTTTGCCCAAAATTCATGCAAAGTCCTAGCATCCAAAAATAGTGACTACTAAAAGGGCACAGGTCTCGGTTGGAAATTTACTTATATTTCACACAAAGCTCTGTTTTGTATTTGCTCAGGAAGAGAGATCTGAAAAACTTTTAAAAAGAAAACCTTCTATAGGCAGAAGAGAACAAGTGGAATCATAACGCATCTAAAGAAGCTTAGCGGCATTTCCTTTTGACTCATTTATAGTTGAGGCAACTTTAAATAATCAACTTTCAAATGGCCATTTTGAATTTATTAAAACAGTGTTTTGGGGCAACCCTCTTGGGTCCCCTCCCTCTTCGGTGGCTTTATACTATCACCTTACCATGGCTCAATAAACCTTGCTTTGCTGCCCACCAAAAAACAAAACAAAAAAACAAAAAAAAAACGCCACAGTGTTTCAAAAATCCTGAAACAACTTCAAGTTTTATAAATGATAATTAATATATAATTCTTATTAGTGTGAGCTTAATGTATACTTATCAAAGTAAGCTCTACATGGAGTTGAGCTATCTTTTTCCTCTTGAGCAACAGGAATGATAGAAAACAAAAATACAGTGTAAATGGAAGATCCAATCTTACTTACTCTTTCTTAGACTGCAAGTCTGGCTAGCAAGACCTTTAACTGAGAAAAATTATTTCCTTTCTTAAGAGGGAAACTTCTATTTCTGATTTCATATCCCCTTTCGAATACATACGCTTGTTTTCTTTCCCTCCCGATATTCCTTGCAAGGTAGCTACCTTCATGATTTGGGCAAAGAAACACTGAGGATGGGTCTGGAACATCCTATTATTGCCGGAAAGTAAGGATGCTTGCAAAGATGTCAGAGCAGTGCTCACGGGAGCAAAAAGTCAGTCTAAATTGGCCCCCAGTGGCTCATTCTGACAATTTGAGCATCACAATATATACATTATAATTAATTGAAATATGTTAAGTTTTAAAAGGCCAAGAATTCCTGAGACTAAAAAGAAAAATGTTAAAATGCAATACACAAATACAGAATGAACGATACATATGAGAATGAATTTAGCAAGTACAAAGTGGTAATATTTACATGTATGGGTTACATATGTGTATATATAAATATATATGCAATATACATGTACAGACACATATATAATTCATATATATATGGATTACCTTTCCAAGAGGCATATAAAGCATATAAATGCGTATATGTGTGTGTGTGTGTGTATATGCGGTATAGACAGATCTCTTACCTTTCCCAGGTTTTTCATCTCTTTAATCAAAAGTCAAATTCAAAAGAGCTTCCTTCCCTGGCCATACAATCTAAAATATCAACATTGTCCCCTGCCTCTTCCTTCATCTTCTCCTTAGAATTTATTCTCTTACATAATATATTTCTATACATATATTTTATTGTTGGTCTTCCTCACTAGAAATTAGCTCTATTGAAAAAAAAAGCAGTGATTTTTGTCTGTGTAGTTCACTACTGTATTTCCAATGTCTACATTAGAACAAAGCCTGGCACACAGTAGGTACTCTGCACAAAATGTTTCAATAAAACACACACACACACACACCTCCTGCTTAATCAAGAGTATATAAAAGAAAAATTTTAAATATGAAAAGCAAAAATTGCACAAACTGACATGGCAGAAAGATACGTTCAGCAGCATAAATAACCAGAGTAAAAAGGAGTCCAACAGTTCCACCACCACTGGTCATACTCAATAACCAAGTGGAAAGGGTTTTGCCCGTGTGTTCTAAACAAATTAGTCCATGTCCTAAAGAGAATTAACTGAACAAACTCAAACCCTCATCTCCTAGGACAGGAAATCTCTAGATAACCCTAATAACTATAAGATAATAATAAGCATAAGTTTTTAATAATGCTAAGAGATCAAGTCACTATATCACAATAAGACAATGGGTTATATAGTTGCAGATAAATAAAATTTAATACCTCCTTGTGAGGAGAAACACCCGATTGTAAAGCACAAACACCTGTGCTAAAGGCATGGGTGTAAAAGATTTTACCAACATTACAAGTGAAGTTTAACTGAAAAAACAGAGAATTGATCAGTGGCTTGGGTTTATGTCACCTTAGAGGAAGAAATCAGGTGCCATACTTAGATCAGAATCAATTAGTGAAAAACTCAAACTCTTCACTGGTCTGAGTCATTACTCTTTTTCCTTTAGGCCTAGCAAGTTTACTATAACCTTGGGGAGCTTTCCAAAATAAGTTATTATTCAACTCTTCCTATTAAAATAACTTTCTAGACATCTAGGAAATATAAGAAAGAATAAAGAAATGACATGGATTTTCAGCATATCAAGTGACATTTTAGTTAGATGTAATATGTTTTGCAGTGTTTTATAATCATTATATTTTTTTCTGTTCAAGGTTTGAAGTATTGAGTCATACCTAATCTGCAGTTTCAGTTTCAAGGGATTCTGTCTTAATATTTAGGAAATTTTCAGATTTGTATTAATATAAGTAAAAATTGACTAATAAGGAAATTATAAGAGTAGTAGTCATTGTTTCACTCCACGCACATATATAAATCCTTTATTCTTTCCTAGTTCATTTGTTCTGTTGTTTTTATAGATGCTTTCCAGACAATATCCAAGATTCTAACAATTCTAACTGTTCAAGGTGGCCCCATTACCTATCATCAGTTTATCTCTCTACATCCACTCAGATAAAATAGGAATATACTGCCCTATAATACCCTCATATTCCTTATTACTCTGAAGAATGGTAATAACTTATGCCCTAAAAATTTTAGGCTACAACTGTTTTACTTTTACCATGAATTGAAAATGTCCCATCCTATCTGCTGGGAATATCTTTGTCTGGATCTCTAGTTCCAAAGAAGTTATCCATAAACTTCTTTTTTTCTTTAAAGATTTTATTTATTTATTTGACAGAGAGAGAGAGAGAGACAGCGAGAGAGGGAACACAAGCAGGGGGAGTGGGAGAGGGAGAAGCAGGCTTCCCGCGGAGCAGGGAGCCCAATGCGGGGCCAGATCCCAGGACCCTGGAATCATGACCTGAGCCAAAGGCAGATGCTTAAGGACTGAGCCACCCAGGCGCCCTGTTATCCACAAACTTCTTAAACCAAGCTTACAATCTCCCCACAAAAGAAGACCTCATTTACAATTCTATTATATTCTATTACACAGTATGTTTAAACCCTTACTGAAAACAGAAAATCAAATAACTCCTTTAAGATGAGAAGCCATTCATTAATGTGACAGATCTGTTATTCTCTTAGCTTGCCACTCTTTCTTTAAAGGCCTATAATGAGTCACCACCACAAGTGATTTTAATTCCTTATGGGAAAGCCTGTTAAGGAGTTTTACTAGGTGAATTTTTAAAAATCTATCATTATAAGTCTAATAAATACCAAATTAATTTTTATCAACAAATAAAATGTAATGATTCTCTCAGCTTTATGAAGGCTGTGTATTCAACTTCCATATACTTGTTTTAGCAAAAGGTTTCTCAGGATAATTATGCCATAAAAGATTAAGGCTTTCTCACATGTATAGCAAACATAGGGTGTATGAATCAGGACTGTAATTCCAAGAGGCAAAAATCCAATTCAAATTAAGCAAAAAAAGAAAATTTATTGGATCACAAAAATTAAAAAGTAAAAGATGGTATAGACTTCAGGCATGATTGAATTCAGAAGGTCAAACAATGTCATCAGATTTGTCTCTTATCTCCATTTTCCTCTGTGTTGGACTGATCTTGGGAAGGCTTTCCTCATGTGGTGACAAAAAAGCTACTGGTGAGTTTTGAACCTTGAAAAATCCTTTAAATCCGTGAAACTTACAATTCCAGGAAAAAAAATGATCTTTTCTTACTATCCATAACAATACCCCCCTAGGGTTCTAGTGGTCCAAACAGGGCCATCTGCCACTCCCTTATTAACCAGACTGTGACCAGCCTATGACCAAGCCACTACTCTCCCTAATAGTTTCATCAGAATGATATGCACTGAGGGTGAGGTAAGTTTCAAATGGGGCATAGAACAGATCCAAAAGTAATAGATGTCTACTATTCAGGCTATTTCAAATAAGGGGGATGCTCATAAACTGAAGGCTTTCCCATATTTACTACATTCATAGAATCATTAACCAAAGAATTCACTGATATTTATTTAATAAGGACTGAGTGGTGACTAAATGTTTTCTTTCATATACTTGTTAGAGAGTTTCTCTATTATGAATTTTCTGATGTCGTCTAAGGGCTGAGGCACAGCTAAAATTATTCCCACACTCATTACAGTTATAGGGTTTGTCTCCAGCATGAATTCTCTGGTGTAGCCTAAGGGACAAGATCTGATGGAAAGCCTTCCCACATTCATTACATTCATAGGGTTTCTCTCCAGTATGAATTCTCTGATGTTGATTAAGGTATGAGCCACAACTGAAGGCCTTCCCACATTTGTTACATTCATACGGTTTCTCTCCTGCATGACTTCTCTTATGATGAATTAGAACTAAAGCATCACTGAAGGCTTTCCCACATTTACTGCATTCAAAAGGTCTCTCTCCACTATGTATTCTATGATGTCGATTAAGTTGTGAGTCAGTCCTAAAAAACTTCCCACATTTGATGCATTCGTAAGGCTTTTCACCTGTATGAATTCTCTGATGTTGATTAAGGTGTGAGCGATAGCCAAAAGTCTTCCCACATTCATTACATTTAAAGGGTTTCTCTCCTGTATGAATCCTTTGATGCAGAGTAAGGGCGATGCGTCTGCTGAAGGCTTTTCCACATTGATTACATTCATAGGGTTTCTCTCCAGTGTGAATTCTCTGATGCTGATTGAGGTGTGCACTCTGTCTGAAGGCTTTGTTACATTCCTTACATTCATATGGTTTCTCTCCTGTGTGAATTCTCTGATGTTCAACAAGGAAGGCATAACGGCTAAAGGCCTTCCCACATTCATTGCATGCAAAAGGTTTCTCTCCAGTGTGGATTCTCTGATGTTGAGCAAGGTGTGCACTCTGTCTGAAAGCTTTGTTACATTCCTTACATTCATATGGTTTTTCTCCAATATGAGTTCTTTGATGTTCACTGAGAAAGAAATCATGGCTAAAGGCTTTTCCACAGTCATTGCATACAAATGGCTTCTCTCCACTGTGAATTCTCTGAGGTTGAGTAAAGAATGAGTAACAGCTAAAGGCATCATCACAGTCATTGAATCCATGCGGTAATTTTCCAAAATGAGTTGCCTGATGTTGAGTAAGTAATGAGTGGAAACTTAAGAGATTTGAAAAATCATTACTTTCATAAGGTTTCTCCCCAGGAGGAATTCCTATATCTTTACTAAGGTATGTGTTCTGGTTGAATTCTTCACATTCATTATCTATCAAAGATTCCTTCTCAGCAGGTAATCTTTTATGTTCAATTAAGATGGAATTTGGGGGAAACATTTTATCATAAATATCAAATTTATGCACTTGCTCTACTGTGGGAACTCTCTCTTGTGTTGAAAGTACTGATTTCAAGAGAACACTTCTCTCAGAATTATTATATTTATTGTCTCTTTTCACAGCAGAGATTTCCTTAAGAGCTGTCACTTGCCTGAAATGCCTCTCCTGCTTTTGTTGATGCCGCTCAAATTCACCCTCATATTTCCAGGGTTCTCTGAAACTGGAATATTCCAGGTCATAACTTGTAAGTCTTTCCATTACCATCCCCTGGGATATTTCCTCTTCATCAATGTACCATTTTGGAGATAATTCCTTGGTTTCATACCAAGAGTCCCAGTCTGAAAAATATCAAGAAAGCAAATGTGTCCTTTTTGCCTCTGTAAGGAGAAAACTGTTATAGAAGAAACTGAAGAATTTAATTGGAGGAATGAGGGGAGAAAGCACATGGTTTTGACACCTTTCAAATATGACCAAGCAAATATGAAAAAAATACAAAGGAAGAACAAAGAATGAAGAGAGCTGATAAAGGAAGATATGTGTGTTGGCGATGGGGAGGAGGTTACAGGGGAAATGTAGGGCATCAAACACATTAATATACAGTAAAATGCAGAGTATCAAGATGCAGACAAAGCTAAATGCTGAGAAGATAAGGAATTGAGAACAACTGACTAGATCATAATCACAGTTTCCCTGCCTCTAGTCTTTAAAGTCTCAAGTGCACTCTGCACTATCCAGTCCTATTTTTAAGACTAAAAGCTCCACGAAGGCAGGGATTAATGTTTTACTTCTAGTTCTTCTTACTGTTGCATTTAGTGCCTAGGACAATGGTAGCATTTTGTTAAATGAATGAATGCTGACAGAAAGCTCAACAACTTCTAAGATTTTATCAGGGACCAGGAAAAAAATTATTGTGTTTTGTTGTTGTTGTTGTTGTTAAGTGTCTAGAAGAAATCTGAAGGTCAGCTTTGCTCATCATTGAGAAAAAAATGCTGCCTACAGAATAGATGATACTTTCAGGAGAGGATATTGGTTGAGATAAGATGGAAAGAAAACTATTTTTTTTTAAAGATTTTACTTATTTGAGAGAGACAGAGAGACAGAGTGAGAGAGAGAGAGAACACGAGCAGGGTGAGGGGCAGGAGGAGAAGCAGACTCCTCACTGAGCAGGGAGCCCAACACGGGGCTTGATCCCAGGACTCCACGATCATGACCCGAACCAAAGGCAGACACTTAACCGACTGAGCCACCCAGGTGCCCCAAGAAAACTATATGCCATTCTCTCTCCTCTTTTTAATTAAAAAAAAAATCGGGGGGCACCTGGGTGGCTCAGTCAGTTAAGCATCTGCCCTCAGCTCAGGTCATGATCCCAGGGTCCTGGGATCAAGTCCCGCATTGGGGTCCTTGCTCAGCAAAAAGCCTGCTTCTCCCTCTCCCTCTGCCTGCCCCTCTCCCTGCTTGTACTCTCTCTGTTTCTGTCAAATAAATTTAAAAAATCTTTAAAAAAATTTTTTTAAGTAGGCTCCACAACCAGCACGGAGCCCAATACAGGGCTCAAACTCACAACCCTGAGATCAAGACCAGAGATGAGATCAAGAGTCAGGTGCTTAACAGATCCACCCACGCGCCCCCCTTCTCTCTTTTTTTAAACTCTAAGGAGATAAAACTTGAACATATAAAAATTCAATATGACACATAATAAAGGACTAGTTAATATGATACAGATTATTAGCAGTATAAGTGTCAGAAAAACAGAGATCAAAACTCACTAATTTAGTTAAGGAATAATTCCTGGAGAATCTGAGCTTGATTGTCAAGGCTATGATCATGCTTCCAAAATGCAGTGATTATTCAAGTAACAGTCACTTTCATGTTTTGTTTTGTTTTTTAGAGAGAGAGAGAATGAGAGAGAGAGCATGAGGTGGGGTGAGGGGGAGGAGGAGAGGGAGAGGGAAAATCTTAAGCAGGCTCCATGCCTGGCACGGAGCCTGACCCAGGGCTGGATCTCACAACTCTGATATCAAGAGTCAGACACTTAACCGACTGAGCCACCCAGGCACTCCTCATTTTCATGTTTTGATATGCATGGAGATTATTTTAGAACTGCACATGTTAGCATTTTTCAGTTAATTAGATATAGTCTTTTCCATAACAGCATCCCATCTGTTGAAAGAAAAGTCACCTCCAGGCCAGGTCAGCACAAGTTGAAAAGCAAAGAATACATTATGCACCTGTACCTTTCTTCTTTGCAATACACCCTCCACCCAAGGAAAGCCTCATCCCTACCTATCCCACCTATGCACAGCCATGGATTTTCTTTTACTTCAGGCTCTATCTTAACCAAGGCCTGAGAGGGATTTGTTCACTTATCCTCTATTAGGTCTACACTACTGTTCTTTTTTTTTTTTTTGGTAGAAATTCATTGTTCCCTCACCAACTTTCCTAGAACCTTCTTTCCTATGTTCATCACCCAGGGCCACTACATTCCCTCTTACCAAGAATAAATCTTTTCTCTACTCCAGGCAAATGGCAGCTTTATACAATACCTACTGTAATGCTGAGTAAAAGAAGACTGATGGGAGAAGACTAGATGTTTTCCAACATAGGTATTCTGAGATGCCTGGAGCTCCAAAAACTCTTGAAAAAAAGATACTCTGTACTTAGGCATATGAATACTATAGGGGAAGGAATTCCATACAGGGTACTCCAGGGGACAGTAGAGAGTACAGCCTGGGAAAGTACAGAGCAGGAAAGAAGTACTGTATATGTGGAAGACATATTCATAATGATTGGAGTACAGAAATACCTAGAAGTCAATGGTATTGAGGTATTATGGTGGCATTCAGCAAAAAGGAGAAGACAGACAGTTCACCCATATCAGTGATTGAGGGGAAAAGGGAAGTTATGGATTCAGGCAAAGTGGAAGAGAGTCAAATGGGCATCCATGTGGCACAGTGGAAAGAACACAGGGTTTGGGGTCATAGGTGAGTTTAAATCCTACTTCTTCATCTAGCTACCTAGTTATTCTAACTTTAACAAATCAACAAATTGATTAACCCAACTCTTGAGCCTCAGTTTCTTAGTAGGAAAAATGAGGTGACCTTACAAGTATGGTATAAGAATAAAGAATACATTTAGGGGCGCCTGGGTGGCTCAGTCGTTAAGCGTCTGCCTTCGGCTCAGGTCACGGTCCCAGAGTCCTGGGATCGAGCTCTGCATCGGGCTCCCTGCTCCGGGGGAAGCCTGCTTCTCCCTCTCCCACTCCCTCTGCTTGTGTTCCCTCTCTCACTGTGTCTCTCTCTGTCAAATAAATAAATAAAATCTTTAAAAAAAAGAATACATTTAGAAAATATCTAGGAGTGTCTGGTTCATTAATATGCATTCAGTGACACTTAACATAAAATGAAACAAATTAATATGTATTCATTAAGTTATTCTTATGCCTACACCATTAGTAGTCTCAGAAATTACATGTATGTCCAAAAAGGGATTATGAAATAGACTGATGGTCAAATGGCAAGACAAAGAATGGGAGAAGTAAACCCTTTGGGGTTAAAATATATCCAGACAATTAGAGATGTGTAATTTCCAACTGATTATAATCTATAAATGGATGGAAATTAAAAATCAAAGTATGATGAACTTTGGAATCCAATCAGAACTGCACAGAAAGTAGTAAGCATAGTTAGTATAAGTTGGAAGAGGAAAAGGTCTTACTAGACTGTAGAGTCTCCCACATGCTGAACTGATGAGCAGTACACAAACTGGAAGATTTCCTGATGAAGTAAATAATCTCCTGGCATGAAACCCAGAAGATTCTAGTAGGAAGTCTGGGAAAAAAGGACAGGACCTAAGGAGAAATCTTAAGAAACTTTACTGCCAAAGCCCAGAATTCATGTTCCCATGAATAGCCTGAACAATGACCCACAGACTTATAGACTGGATCTCCATCTTTAAAAAACTGTAGAGAGCTATGTTGTCCAATATTGTAGCCACTAACCACATGTGGCAATTTAAATTCGTTAAAATAAAAAAAAATTTAATTCAGTTTCTCAATAATACCTAGCCATATTCCAAGTGCTCAATAGCCAAATGTGGCTAGTGACTACAATACTGGAAAGCACAGATATAGAATATATCCATCACCACAGACTGTTCTACTAGATGTCACTGGACAGAGATGCAAAGTAACATGACAAAGATGTTATGGTTGAACGAGGAAAAAACAGAAAAATAGGGCGTCAGTTAAAGGGAGAGAGAAACAAAATAGAGCTTTGAACAGAGAAAATGAATAGTGGTCAGAAATATCTTATAAATCTCAGTAAGCTGATGAATAGAAAAATAAAGAAAGGCAACTGGATTTAGCCAAATTAGAGGGAGCAGAGCCAGACTGCAAGTGGTAAGGCAGTGTAAGAGAATTTGAAGTAAAGGCAATGAGTGGAGATTATAATTGGTATACAAGTAATTGGAAGAGAGAAGGTAGTATGGTGTACAAAAACACTGCAAAGGTCCTATGAAATGGTATGAAATTATTTCAAGGGAGTTTTTTTTTTTTTCAAAGAAGATTTAACTAAACAAAAATGTAAGACATAACTGTCCAAAAAGGAAAACATACATAAACATGCTTGCTTACCCCAACTTAATTTGTATCAGGTCAATTTCAATCAGAACCCCACAAGGATTTTATCTCTGAACTTAAATTATTTTAAAGGATGCATGGCAAAAAATGAGCAATAATATAAAAGAAAATTCTAAAGAAAAAAATTCTAGGACCAGTAATATGACCCAAGTATTGCATTTTATACCTTCCTTTCATTAAAATCCCTATGAAAGGACTCAACCAAGGTGATTTGTAAAATTCTCTTTAATTACGGGGAAATGTCAAGAGAAACACACCTGAAGCATACAAATTTATGGGATGCAGAAGAGAACAAAGAGCTCTGTAGTTCATGCCTTACCCCCGCTTCCCTCTCACAACCATCAATTTGTTCTCCATATTTACAGGTCTGATTCTGCATTTTGTTTATTCATTTGTTTTGTTTATTTAGATTCCACATGAGTAAAGTCATATGGTATTTGTCTTTCTCAGTCTTATTTCACTTAGCAGGTACCCTCTAGAGGTCCATCAATATTGTCACAAATGGCAAAATCTCATCTTTTTATAGCTAGGTAATATTCCATTGTGTATATATACACATCTTACTTCTCTATCAATGGATACTTAGGCTGCTTCCAGATCTTGCCTATTATAAATAATGCTGCAATAAACATATGGGTGCATACATCTTTTGAATTAGTGTTTTTGTTTTCTTCAGGTATGTACTCACTGGTGGAATTATTG